TCTCCCGAGTGAGTGTACAGAAGATAAACAATTTTGGCTGTACCGGGGGTGGATGTTTTGTTGGAGCAGCCGTGAGCTACACTTGCCTGATAGGGTCATGCGGCAATTTGGGTGTCGTCAGTCCATCCCCCAAAATCCAATCATTACGGGTGAGCAAGACTGGGCCAGACACCACGCCGGCCAAGGAATGACTGGGCGGGCATTCGGTGATTGGGCCCTCTTTCATTCACCGCTTACGAAGGCATGGGCCGATGAAAGAGAACTACATCTCATCCCAATTGCCCCTGCGTATGATTTCCTGCAGCCAGAGCAGGGTTACCTCGATTGGTTTCACAGTAGGACTGTGAGACTTATCAGTAACCCTGGCAATTACGCTGTGTTCCAACAGGCTGGCGGCTATCAGCCATTTGCCGAGCGGTTAGGGTGCGAGGTAAGTGTTCATAATAATTTGTCGTTTTATTATTATTATTATTATTATTATTATTATTTTATTTTATTTATGTTGTTTCATACTAATTACTTTGAATTTTATTTTCAGACTTCTGGCCTGGAGGGGGTTTATAACTCCTTATCGAGTATTCAACACTTAATGCCTACATTCCCTCCAGAGGCACAATCCGCATTCCAACAGTCCTTCAACTTTGCATACACTTCCTTGACTGTTGGAGGCCGAGGTCTTACACAAGGGACGTCGTCAAGTCAAGTTCTATCCCAGGACGACTACATTCCATCCCAGAGGACACAGTCCCACACCGCGAGGCATCGACCCGCTGCCAACATTGGTGGGGGTAGAAGACCTCGGGCCCGTGACCGCGAAAATGAACAACGCCCAACCAATCCACCCTCCCCCCAGCACCTCCAATCTCAGAACCTCGGCCTTGAACAATGTAAGATCTATTTACTTAACAAAATATTATTTTTTGGTCTTTTTTTATTTTTTTTATTTTTTCCTAAAGTCGAGTTTGTGATTTTTTTTACTAAATGCATTACTCAGTTGAAGCGGACGAAGGAGAACAGAATGAGAACGATTTTGATGATGACACGCCTCTCGTAGAGCTCCGGAGGGGGGATCGACTGCGCAAACCTAGGCAACCGTTCACTTCTTCATCTTCATAGTTAGTTTGTGTCTTATGTATTGAAATTTGTGGACATATTCGTGTGTAAACCGTATTTTGATCTTTTTGTATATAGTGTTTCTTTTATAAATTATTGTTTTTCATCTTCTTTTATATGTTGGGTTGATTGATATGTGTATGTTGCGTTGATTGATATGTGTATGTTGGTTGAACAGGTTGGTTTCTTCAAATGGATTCAAAAATTTTGTTTTTTCTGCAGTTTAAAACGTATTCTGGGAATACGTTTTATATTTTTTTGTTTATAAAACGTATTTTCAGAATACGTTTATATATGAATCAATTTAGGGCAAAATTGAATTGGGGCAAAATTGAATTTGGGGGAAAAATTGTACAAAAAACGTATTTCGGAAATACGTTTTATGTTTTATTTTATTTTGTCCATCAAAATTGTATTTTCAAAATTCTAAAAATTCATTTCATTTAAAATACGTATTGTGAAAATACGTTTTATAACTCGAAAATAATTATAAAATTAATTTTAATTATAACACGTATTTCGGAAATACGTATTAATTTTTTATAAATAAAAACGTATTTGCGGTATACGTTTTTCATCAAAGTAATTATCTTAATTAATCATATTAACTGAAACCGTATTTCAGGAATACGGTTTATATTTAAAACGTATTTTTAAAATACGTTTTATAATTAAAAACGTATTTTCAGAATACGTGTGTTTGATTTATTTCCACCCTGTTTTTTTTTTTTTTTTATTTTTGTCCAGTTATTTTTGTTTATTTTTAAATAAATAAATAATTCCATAATTTATCCCAATAAAAGACATTATACAGTACCTATTATTTAAACAATTTATTTTATTTACTTTATTACTTAGCGTGCGGGCAAGTTCAAAAATCAAATTGAACTCGCCGAAAAGAGAAAAAATGACGTAAATTTCTCTATGCTGTGGCATATTCCCGCCAAACGGAACACCAAATGCACAAGCTGCCGCCACGTGTTGGGTCCACATCCACCCATCTACATGTAACCCCCTCTGCCCCATACCAAACTCCATTTGCGCATCGCGAATCCCCCAAAATCTCTTATCTTTCTCTACTTCGCTTTCACCGTACAGCCAGAATTTGCTCAAACACGTTTTCCTCTGGTTCATTTTTGTCAGAATTTACAATGTCGAAGGCTCTCGATCGGATATCAAGCCCTTGTGAGTTGTAGAATATGAATTCGTAAAGTAAATTGATGACCTTATGTTAGTAGCAGTTGGTCGAAAAGATACTTTTTTTTCAGGGTTTTGTCTAATTTGTGGTTAAAAATTGGGTTTAAATCTGCGACGAGGCTAGTACAGTAGTGAGTGTCGGAATTTGTTGTGCGTACTTTGTAGTTTCATTTTCAGGCTTTTGATTTCATTTGTGATAGGCGAACATTGACCGATTTTGCCGTTATAAATCTAAAACTTGTGTTCCTAAATTTTTAGGGGTTTTCTAGTTATCAGTTTTGCAGTTAAAAATGTGAAACATGGGTTTTGGTTAATGTTGTTCAGATGTGACTACATATGCAGTCTGGAAGTGTGTGTTCTATTTGGTCCTCTGTGCTGCTAAACAAGGACTATTGCATTTTCTTCTTTCAAGCATTGGACAGGAAAATTTCAGTTTTGTCACTGCTAACTAGTTTTCATTGGAACAATACATTTGTGCGACACTTAAAAAATAAATTTGCATGATAAGGGGAACTAAGATGCCATTAGAATTAGATACCTCCATGGCAGAGTCGGTCGTGTTCTTTTGCATTTATTGGTGGGTGTAATTTTGTACATGAAGGTTTTCTTTGGGATTAGAATGTCCCAGTAAGTAAACTGTTGAAAAAGTCGAGTGAATCATTACTTTGTGTATAGCCTTTAGGTTAATTCTGATTGTTTCTCAAATACACTGCTTAGGTTAATTTTTTAATCAACAAGCATCAAATAAAGGTGGAATTATTTGGAAAAGACTATTACAGCTACTTTATCTTTACTATGAGCATGGTAGCTTAATTGGCAACACTCAAACCTCTGCAATGGTTCTACTGAGGGGTTGAACCTTGAATCTTTAGTTTCTTTGTCATTATACTATACCCTTCATTCCTTATAAAATTTCAGGAAATTATTTATTTCCTTATGCCTGTTTCTGTATATTGAAGTCTCTAATAAGTATTACTAAGTTTTCTGCATTATCTTGACTCGTCGCAGTCTCCTCTGATATCCAAAGGTCTTCTTTTTCTTCTGAGCTTCAGAACAAGGATGGTGGATGTTGAATTCGATTTAAAATGACACGTGTCTCACTGTTTTGCTAATTAGTATGTGCATACCGCTTATTTTAGGAGTTGGCAATGCACTACAGTGTAGCATATTCAGTCCATTTGGTTCAGGTTTAGTTTTTAAGCAACTGCCAATTCTTCTATCGCCACATGGAATTTTCTTTGGGTTTGCATGCTGCGTCCTAATATTTTATTTTATGCCGGTTTTAGTTTGATGGGGGTTAACATGTAACATAATCAAGAATCAATTTTAGTGATTTGATTCTTAAAATGGGAATAAAAAATGAGCAGTTGTTTTTTCTCAGGTTGTTGCAAAGATGGCAAGCACAAACAGAAATCAGATCCTGAAATATCTGAAGAAAATATGAAATCTGGAATTCTGAAAAAAGCAAGAATCATGTCTAGTAAACTAAGGAATTCTCTAAGAAACAAGAGCAAAAGGAGAACTGATTTTGGAGTTTATAAGATTGAGGATATTCGTGAAACTGAGGAACAGAAGGTTGTTGATGCTTTTCAACAAGCACTGATCACAGATAATTTGCTTCCTGCAAGATTTGATGATTACCATGTAATGTTAAGGTAAATTTATCCCATTTGCATCCTTACATATCACAAATTATTCTGCATAGAAAATTTTCATTGGTTTGAAGCGACTAATCTGACAAACATCTTTGTTTCAACTTTGGCCAGACTACCCACAAATTCCATTGTTTACTCTGATAAATCTAGTTTTTGGAGTAACTAGGTAAACTTTGTAACCCAAGGCTTAGTCAATGATGATTGCTTGTTAATATTTTGTCAATTTGGGAATAGTTATGATTGTTATCAGTTGTGTGACATATGAATCATCTATAGAAATATAGGAAAAACGTGACGAATTGATTGATAATAAATTTGGTGCTCTCATGTTTGCAACTATCTTCTTTCAACTTTGCCCATCAATCTCACTAGGGTTTTATCTTGCCACTTTAAGATGAAAATGTACAATGTCTTTATCCTTGTTTCGTGACATTTTGGTATCTAGACTAATTATTATTATTATTATTATTATTATTGTGTCAAGGTTGGAACTAATTTTGAACCATTGTATCTTTTAAACATCAAAACTTATGTCCTTTGAGCAATCACCAATTTGCAGATTTCTGAAAGCAAGGAAGTTTAACATTGAAAAAGCAAAAGCGATGTGGGCAAACATGCTTCACTGGAGGAAAGACTTCGGCGCTGATACTATCATGGAGGTGAGCATGAATTTGTATGTCATTAGATTCATAAATTCTATTCAATTGTTTTGGATTTATGTGATGCTGAGGTACTTTTAGTTATTTATTTTTAGTATCATAATACATCAAGATAGCTAGTTTGTTTTTGTGTTTTTCCTTGGTTTTAGTGCCTTTAGAATTGACCACAACATGGAGGCTTTTCATGCTATGAAGGTCAATTTATGTGCATTAGCTTCAATAGAAAAAAAGCTTAGAATATAGACTTCTTGTTTGATGAGAAAGCTGCCTCTTGCATATTCATAAATAGACATGGTATTTCTTTCAGAATTTTATCACGAAATCTGAGGCAGAGATGTGAACTTGTGTTCAGGTTTTCATCTACGGCAAATTTTGTTTTTAAACTTCAACAACATTTTTCTTTTCTACATTCCATTAATTTGATATCACAATATTAACTAGTGTTCTGGTTTTCTTAGAGCTTAATCTTCTATGCACTTGTAATCAACTCAGGACTTGGACTTCAAGGAGTTGAATGAGGTTCAACGCTATTATCCTCATGGATATCATGGTGTTGACAAGGATGGGAGACCTGTATACATTGAGATATTGGGTATGATTGATGTTGACATGCTGCTCCAGGTTACGACTTTGGACCGATTTGTGAAATACCAAGTGCAGGAGTTTGAGAAAAGTCTTGCTGTTAGGTTTCCAGCATGCTCTGCTGCAGCAAATAGACATATAGATTCAAGTACTACAATTTTAGATGTTCAAGGATTGGTATTCGTCTGTTCTGTTTTCTTTTTCCCCCTTTCATTAACGGTGATGATATATTAATTTTTCTATCAAGATTACATGGGTATTATATGAGCATTCTGTTTTTGTACAGGGTCTAATGAGTTTGACTGGCCCCGTTACAGACTTCATTAGGACAATCCAAAAGATTGATAATGACAATTATCCTGAAGTGTGTATTTCTTAATTCTCTTGATTTGTGCTTTTCATCACTAGAATCATATACTACATATTTTGATTTAAAGATTGTTTCTAAATATATCAGACACTTCACCAAATGTTTATCATCAATGCTGGCCCTGGCTTCAGGCTGATCTGGAACTTAGTCAAGCCTTTACTTGATCCTGAAACGTCATCAAAAATTCAGGTTTGTCGTATTAAAGTATTCACCAACGCCTAAGACCCACTATCTAGACATTGATGCATGGGATGATATTTTGCCGAGCCCTCGCAGGTTCTTGACAGCAAATACCAAGGCAAATTGCTTGAAGCAATTGATGAGAGGTGACTCAGTTTTTTTTTCTTTTTTTTTTTAAAAAAAAAATTTTCCTTGCATAATCAGTTTTCTATATGTTTTGGAACTCATTCGACCGGTGATTTGGAGGTTAGCGAGCTGCCGTTTTTTCTTGGTGGTAGCTGTACTTGTGAGACTGAGGGGGGCTGTTTGAGGTCAGATAAAGGACCCTGGAACAATCCAAATTTATTAAACGTGAGAAAACAGGTTTCATCATAATTTGTTTTTTTCCAAAGTACGTCTTGTCATGTAATTGACTGTTGGTGACCTCTAAATGTAGATGAGTCTCGATGTTGAAGTGCATCCCATCCATAGAGCGGAAACTTTCTTGGATACTGAGTAAACTTTATTGTCTTGGGTAAACTTTCGGCATGCTTTAAACTCCCCTTTAATCACTTAGTGTCAGTTATCGATTATTAAAATATTTTCTAATGTACAGCAAACTGTGGCCATTTGTGTGAGGAGTGATCTGATGCATTGGAGCTTGAAGAAGCAAAACGTTCACAGAATGTGTTTCTTAATCAGTTGAATTTAAGGTACAAGTAGCCGGTGATAGGTTGTGCACACACTTTGATGACAATCATTTGAAGTCGAGTACTTAGCCGACGAGGGTGATCTTTTTTCTTAAAGTTCAGTGACCTCCATTCTTATTGTCATGCTTCTGGATGAATGTTGGGGACATAGGTTATACAATCCACGGTATTCTCTTCAAATTTTATTTTATTTTTTGAATATTGAGTTGGTTTTAATTTATGTGCAACCTAACCAATCCTTGGATCATTAGTAAGAATGTCTGGAAGTGAAAAAACATAGTTCTACAGAAAATAGAATGTCATCTTTTGCCTAAATGAATAAATAAACATTTCATTGTTCAGAATCAGGAAAGTATATAATAACTGCTAAAAAAACGAAATGTTTCCTCAAACTTCTGCAAATTAATAGAAAGAAAAAATAAACCAACGATCTGTACCCTACAATAGGCTTAATACTGAATCAAAAATCATGAAAAAAATGTATATCGACAAAACCTGAATCAAGACAAAACTTTTCCGTCTCTTATATTAGAACTTGTGCCCGAAAAAATCAAGCATTTGTGTATTTGTCCTCGAGGAATTTAACCAAGCCAATTAATGCAATATCGGGATCTTCACTCTTCATCAGCTCCCCCGCCAGCTCAGCAGGTGTCGCCTTGACTTTTGCCAGGAGCTCGTCAATAACCGGAAACAACGAGTGCTCCTTTATCCTCAGATAACTCCAGGCGAGTATCTTAAATCCACCAAACGTGCAGTAAGACATCTCGAGGTGAATATCCATACGGCCTGGCCTAAGCAAAGCTGGGTCCAGTCGATTTTTGTGGTTTGTTGTGAAAACTATAATCCTCTCGTCCCCACAGCTCGACCAAAGCCCGTCTATGAAGTTGAGCAGTCCAGACAGAGTTATCTGTTTCAGTACATAAGAGGAATCTCGTTTGTTAGTCAAATGTACCAAACATTTGGGTGCTTGGAAATTTTAGTCAATTCCATACTTGGTTGTCACATAACACACTACACTACTCTTTTTGACTTGCATGAAAAAAGCAAAATCTATACTTGCACCACAAGTACAAACACATGTCTAACTAAATGACTAGATATAATAAAACATATTCATTGTAAGACCGTTTTTATGCAATTTGAGAAAGCATACAATCACTCGTTTTCTCGTCTTGAGTGTAGTTTGACTCGTCTGATAAACGAGCTGGGTTCGAGCTCGTTTAGTTAACGGCCCAATCTGTTGGCTCGTTAAGACTCGTCAAGTTTGAAAATTAGGGGCTTTAACGTAATTTTGGTAGTCCTACCTTAAGATCGGCTAAGGCTCAAGCTTGGCTCATTAATTTTAGTAAACGAGCTATGTTCGAGATCGTTTATCAAGAGTTCGAGTTCGAGCTCTATATGCAAGCATAAAAAAAGTGACTATTTACATGAAAAAAACATATTGACAACCGAACCTTGTCATCTTCACTAGTTGCACTATCCACCTCTCTATTCTGCAACCCCACATTGCAATCGATATCCTCGATCACAAGTATGGATCGATTAGCCGAGCCAATTAACAGCCTCCTCAAATCTGAATTACACTGCACCTCCCTCAAATCCAAGTCATACACATCAAACTTGAGATGATTGGCCATGGCTGCAACCAGGCTCGACTTTCCAGTCCCAGGCGGCCCGTAAAATAAGTACCCTCTTTTCCAAGCCTTCCCCACCCTTCTGTAGTAATCCCTTCTCTTCACAAACCTGTCCAAATCCTCAATTAGCCCCCTTTTCACATCCGAATCCATAGCCATGGTATCGAAAGTTGCCGGGTGGTTCAAAACCACCGAGCTCCAATAATCGGTGCCGTTGTAATCCACTGTGTGAAGCCTCACATTCCTCATCTGTTCCTTAATCTCTTTTGCCTTTCTCAATATGTGGGGCAGGTAGACCTTCAGAACAGAGTCCTTGTGCTTTTTATTGAAGCTCAGCTCGAAAAATCGGAGTTCAGTTCTGGCGCTGGAGCTCTTCTTCCCGTCCGGCTCCCTATTGGAGATGGCCGACGACTGGAGGATCCACCGGAATTTTATCCCGCTGTGGAAATCGATGATTTCCTGATTCCGATCAACGGTGACGGCCAAATCGTCGTCCTTTTCTGGTTTGTTGATTTTGATCCGCCGCGTGGAGGGGGAGATCCGGGAGCCGAGGTAGGTGGTGGCGGCGTCGAAGAGGTGGTTGGCGGTGAGGCCGTCGGACTCGTCGATGACGACGGTGAGCTGGGTGGAGAAGCGGTCGGCGATTTTGTAGAGTGAGGAGCAGAGGTAGGTGTGGATCTGTTGGGGGATTATTTCGTTGGCGATGGATTTGATGAGGATTAGGGTTCCGATGACGGAGGCCGCCGCCGTCAGGGTTTTGTCGGCGGTGGGGAGAGATTCCGATGAGAACATCATTCTTTTT